ACAACATCATCACCACCTCTTAATTATCTACAACGGCCCGTCTTCCATCATGTATTATGATGAAGCGCCGTTGCCCGAAACGTTGCATGTTAAATACATGTTTTTTTTTCTAAAGCCACACACACACAGACATACATAGTTGTTGTGTCGTGCGAGTCGCATCTCTCACTATCGCGACGAACCAACAATTTCCGAAGCTCTGCGGTCCCCCATATATATAAATCCTCGGATGTTTTCAGCCAACGAATGAGTGCGCATACACGAGCTGACACTGTTGCGCATGCCCCCAATATCTGTCTCTCCACCGAGACAACGATAGTTTGTGCTGTGTCTCTTGGGAGTTCTCAGCCGGTTCAGCAGAATCAACTTGAAGCATCCTCAACAATAACTAGACAACAACAACAACAATACTAGTTATTGGCTCATTCGTTCGTTGCTCAATCCGCTTGTCCTGGTGAGAGTCGCGGCGGGAGTTTGTCGGGCAGGGCGGCCCAGACCTCCCTTATCGTAACAATAATGCCACAAGGGAACAAGCTGAAGAAGTTGAAGAGGTCACGGAGCCGAGTGTATAAACTTGTATTTCACAGAGCAGCGTTAAACGTCGCCCATACACAGCACAGAACTGTGGAGAGAACCACAGTCGACATCGAACCGGCATGCAGCAGGAGCGGCATGCTGCAAGGAACGCCCAACCCCCCCCCCCAACCCCCTACAATGGACCATCTATAAATCTATACAGCACGTGGGGTTTCTGCCGCTGCTGCTGTTGTTGTTGTTGTTTTTACTTCATTTAATTCGTGTCATAAACTATTGTTCACTTAAAAGAGCCAGAGAGGGACGCATTCCCCCCGCCCCCGGTGCCCCAGGGCGATCTCCGGATCGCGCGCGACCTCACGTGACGCGCGGGGATCGTGAACCCGTCTGTACGGACCTCTTGAGAGGCGGGTTTACTGCGGCTGCTCTGGTTTCTACATACAAGTACAACAACAACAACAAGTACAACAACGACGCGATCGGATAAATGTCCCAGTGTAGCAAGAGCCTCTTGACAAAACGCCTTGGGACTCAGCCAATCTCTCCCAGATATACCACTGTGACCACAATCGTGGTTGCTTTTTGATCATCCATACGATGTTATTAATTTTATTATTACTACATGATTATAACGTTGATATTCTAATCATATAACGTCATATTGTCAGCAATAGGTACGTCGTTTGAACGTTACCATCCGTACCTCCCTCCACCTAGAGAGCAAAACTTGTTTGGGATATGATATAGATTTCTCTTCATGGGAGAGCCTCACTGAGCCTCAAGGCGCCCTTTCTAGGAGGGCACGTGCCACATTGGGCGTTTGGCCAATTCCACTTTCAATGATGGGAGTATTCAGCGTGCGACAATATGTCAACAGTCATACGAGTCTTCACAATTGGTGCTATTATGGCAGTAGCGTCCATGCAAACTGTATCACACCACGCCGCGCTTTACAATCCGCAACACGCGGGAGGCACGCAGACATCGAAGTGTTTCCAGCCACTTAATGAGCGTGTTTACACAAGCGGGGAGTGAACCGGAGCAGCCGGGGAAACCCCACCACTCGCGCGAGGGGGAAACACGCTATCCCCGTGCAGGTTGGAACAGGTGGGAGTCCGCCGTCGACTGGCGAGCCAGGGAGTACGGCTCCTCCTCGACGCCCACACCCAGGGGAAGGGGGTTTCGCACAACATCATCTGTGTGTAATCCCCCAACCCTCACTGCGCAAGGTTACCACAGACAGCCTCCGTGCATGCAGCGTAGCAGCCAAAGTAACCCCGGAGAAAACCCAGCACGTAGACGGAAGGGGATAATCTCTCCTCGGGGGTTCACGATCCACTCGGGGGGGGGGGGGGGTCCTGCTGCCACCTCCTCCTGTACGGCCACCCTCTGTGACCCCCTGCAAAAAGCCCAACGCTGCAATCCGTAAGGAGCGTGGATGATCGGGGAGGGTCTCTGGACCAAACTAATCTCGTTTTATTTACCAGGATAAAAGCCTGCGCTGAGCTGGGAGGTCTTGTTCAGAGGCGACGTGGCCACACGTGATGCACTTTGAAATGACCGAGATTGAAAACTCATTAAGTTTTCACCGCTTTGTGTGTTCAGTTTGCGTCGGTTACGTACGGCGCGAAATAAGTCCAATATACAAACATACGTACGTGATGATAGCTCATCCAAGTGGCTTACATATCATCACAATGTGGGAATTCGCAGGCGCAGGCAAATCATCCGAAGGCGCGTTGTTTCTCAGCGCTGGAGGAGGGCAACGCCGAAGGATCCCGAAAGGGAAGAAATCCACGCGAGCCCCACGGAGAGAGAGAGAGAGGACAACACAGACTCCACATACACAACAGCAGGCATGGCCAGGGTCTGGCCTCTAACTCGACGAGGGAGGTGACGTCTCCTGGCCACGGCGGCTCTCCCAGCCGAGGCTCGCGTTGCGGACGAGGCGGGGTTCACGGAGGCCGGATCGAGACCCCTGTACCTACAGCAGTGTGCGTCACAGTTCGGCGTGTACTCGGCGTGTACTCGGGGTGTACTCTGTGTGTACTCGGCGTGTACTCTGTGAGTCCTCGGGGTGTACTCTGCGTGTACTCGGGGTGTACTTAGGGTGTACTCTGTGTGTACTCGGGGTGTACTCGGGGTGTACTCGGCGTGTACTCTGTGTGTACTCGGCGTGTACTCGGGGTGTCCTCGGGGTGTACTCTGCGTGTACTCGGGGTGTACTTGGCGTGTACTCGGCGTGTACTCGGCGTGTACTCGGGGTGTACTCAGGGAGTCCTCGGCGTGTACTCGGGGTGTACTCGGCGTGTACTCGGGGTGTCCTCGGGGTGTACTCTGCGTGTACTCGGGGTGTCCTCGGCGTGTACTCGGGGTGTCCTCGGGGTGTACTCTGCGTGTACTCGGGGTGTCCTCGGGGTGTACTCTGTGTGTACTCTGCGTGTACTCGGGGTGTACTCGGCGTGTACTCGGGGTGTCCTCGTGGTGTACTCGGCGTGTACTCTGTGTGTACTCGGGGTGTACTCGGGGAGTCCTCGGGGTGTACTCTGTGTGTACTCGGGGTGTACTCGGCGTGTACTCGGGGTGTCCTCGGGGTGTACTCGGGGTGTCCTCGGGGTGTGCTCGGCGTGTACTCTGTGAGTCCTCGGGGTGTTCTCGGGGTGTACTCTGCGTGTACTCGGGGTGTACTCGGCGTGTACTCGGGGTGTACTCGGGGTGTACTCAGCGTGTACTCGGCGTGTACTCTGTGTGTACTCTGTGTGTACTCGGCGTGTACTCTGTGAGTCCTCGGGGTGTACTCTGCGTGTACTCGGGGTGTCCTTGGGGTGTACTCGGCGTGTACTCGGGGTGTCCTCGGGGTGTACTCGGGGTGTACTCGGCGTGTACTCGGCGTGTACTCGGGGTGTACTCGGGGTGTACTCGGCGTGGACTCTGCGTGTACTCGGGGTGTACTCGGCGTGTACTCGGGGTGTACTCGGCGTGTACTCGGCGTCCTCCGCACAGGAACCTCTACACCCTCCGCACACTCGTCTCGAATATTTCAATACAAAAACTGAGCAGATAGAGGGTGGGGGGTTGGGGGAAGGAGGGGGTGGCTGATAAAAGATTCGTGAGCGTGCGAATTGAACGAAAACGCATCATTTCCCACTGCGTCCCACGGATTAAAAAAAAAATCAGAATGTTTTATTTTTGCATTTTTTGTGCCACAGCTGTGTGGCTGAAGGGGGGTGCTGGGAGGGGGGGGGGGGGGAGTGGAGACTTTAGGCCGATGTGTTAATTTACGCGTAAAACCGGGAGCAGCTTGAAGCCGAATCAACTGGCGGCACGAGTGGCCTACATGCGCGCGCACACACACACGCGCGCACACACAGACATACACGCATGTACAGTACACACATACACGCATGTACAGTACACACATGCGCACACACATGTACGCACGTGCCAGGACGAATAACGCGCACACTCTCGCGCAACACAAGGACGCAATCTGCTCCACACAAATACTCATCCGCTCTACGTCCAAGCACTCTCACTCAATCTCTCACCAAACACACACACATACACACACCTGCGTCTCACACACACACACACACACTAACCTTGCCCACCACACCCCTTTCTATCACACACCCCACACACGCGCAGCACCACGCACACCCCACGCGCCCCCCCCCCTGCTCCACGGGGAGCTCGCGGTGCCAATCGCGGAGTGAGCGAGGCGAGCGATTTTACTTCTCGAAGGAGCCTCGCTCGTCTTTCTCGTCTTCCTGGGAGGGCGGACTCCACCCACACGACCCTCGTTACCCCGCGTCTACGGCTGCCTGTGTTTGTGGTTGCCCAATCCTTTTAAGTGAATAAAGGGAACCCTACCTCCTCCTCATCCTCTTCTTCGCCCCCCCCCCCGCCCTTCCCCCCATCCCCTCCCACCCCAACCCCCACCCCTCGCCGAGCCGTCGCGTTCGCTTCTCTGCTCGTGCGGAGCCTCACTCGAGAGACGTCTCCATTGGTCGCGGAGCCTCGGACTCCCGAGTCCTCGCGGCTCCCTGCGGCAAGACGCCTCCACCGCCGTCGACCTCCGTCTCGCAGCTCACAACTCAACGGGACGCTCGAGCGAGTGACGCTCTGCACGCGCCCGATGATTGCTAAAGACGCGACGCCACGCCGAGCGCGCCAGTCGATTTGAATCGGAGCGAGCTCTCACTGGGCACGGCGACAGAGAGTCCCACGTGCAGCCTTAACCAGACTCTTTGGGGCAAGTGTCGCGAGCGAGCACCTTGACCTGAGAACACTTACAACGCGTACATTCTCTCCTTCACAATTACAATCCAGCCCCCTGTACGTTACGCGGGGAATCAAAATCAATACCTTGATTCGTAGCAAATCATGCGCCGTGAACAAAGGGCCTTTGCCCGAAACGTCACTTACCCTATTTTTCTCGTAAGGCAATACACACAGACACACGGTCGTATTATCGACTTAATGCGTTACGTTTATTTTGTTTGTGTCAATGCAAATCGGAGCTCTCTCTCTCTCTCCACATCTACGAGATGTGGCACACGCACACACACGCGCGGGCATCCACACGGGTCGCATTGAGCAATCATCGGGCGCGTGCGGTCCGTAACGAACGACCCAAACAAATAAAATCAAACAAAATAACTCGTCATTAGATCTCCTTTGCCAGTTCCAAAAATAATATAATAATAATAATGCATTAACCACAATACTTGTGGTGATAATGCAAACAAAAAACACACTGATAATATATGATGCATTGTCCTTGAAACTGATTGGTCCACACCAGAGACGGCTTTCTTTAGAGCCCAGTCGCAATTGGTGCTAGACCAGATGACGCCAGAAGGCGTACAGCTCAAAGACAATGCACTATCAAAGTAATGAGGTTTCGGGATAAGCATCTACATCATTAGACCTCCTTTGCCAGTACCAAAAATATAATAATAGGGTTGTCTTTGAGCTCTACGCCTTTTGGCGTCCTCTGGTCGAGCACCGATTGAGACGAGGCTCAAAAGAAAGCCGTCTCTGGTGTGGACCAATCAGTTTCAAGGACAATGCCACGTACATTATCAGTGTGTTTTTTGTTTGAATTTTTGACCGCAAGTATTGTGGTTAATGCAGACATGATTCCTCGTAAAAAAAAGGTTTCAGTTCTGTTGCCAGAAAGAAAAGGGGAAACCCATATATTATTATTAAAAGAATTCGTGCCAAACAAAAAAAACACACACACACGGAAACAAGGTGCGACGCGGATGAAGGTTTGCAGGACCGAAAGTAAAACCCGGAGTGTAGATCATTCATCGCTTTCTCTCTGCGTGCGTGTGCTGACGACGGTCATGCAGAACGGCTGTAGCAAAATAACAAAAAACACGGCCGTTGTATAAACACCGAGACTGGATCGATAATAAATAACCGTACCTTATAGCAAACATCACGATCAGACGATATATTTATATAGGAACATACGTTTTCATGGTTTTTTTTTTGTTCTTTGTCGCCGTTTAGTTTAAATATAGAGATGTATAACAAGTCGCGTTCTCAAAACGATGGTCTCGTACAAATGAGAGAGTAATTCCTTGCAAAAATGTTAAAACAGCTGTCATGCCAACATTACAAAAAGACACGGCGATCATCCTTCCCACTGCCGTTCCACACCGCCACCCCTTTCCTCCCCGTCGAATGGAAGATATTTACGAGCTTCGGGAGTCGGGTGGTGTATATATAGACATATATATAGATATAGTTTGTTTTTTTCTCATTTGCAAGCAAAATCGCCGATCAAGCCCAAAATAGTCCACGCGGGATCAGTTTTACACGAACCATCGGGTCAAGCAGAAGACAGAGATCACATTGAGGCATCCGAGCCACACTCCACAGCTGGAGTTGAACAGAGACGAGCGCAGCTCACGGTCAGCAGTGTGGGTGGTGGCGGTGGTGATGGGGGGCGCTGATTTTCATGTCCATAATTATTAGATGCCCCCCCCCCCCCACCACCACGTTCCACTCCACCTGCCACGTGCAACGTGCTGCCACGGTCAATTATTGCGAGTGCCTTGTGCAAGCACCTGGCTGTTAATTAAGGGCCACTCACAACTGTCGCCATGCAGAGATTCATAATTATTAAACACACCACAAGCGTGCGCACACACACACAACACGCACGCGCGTGTCCCTCTGTGTGTGGATCTGAGCCCCAGCTCACTCAGCCTCACTTGCTCCATCCCTTCCCCACCCAGCCGTCACCTCAGCTCCCCCTCAAACCCTTTCCTCCCTCCCTCCCTCCCTCCATCTCATCCCCGTCTCGCTCCATCTCCCATCACAACCACCTTCCATCACCTCCAACTCTTCGCCTCCCCGCTCAATCACTCCCCGTCTCCCCTCATCTCCCACCATCTCTCTCCCCGTATCCCTTCCAGTTTCCATCTCTCCCCTCCGCCGCCCCTCCCCCATCTCGTACCTCGTCTCCATCAATCTCTCTTCCATTCTCCCTGCATCTCCCTTCGCAGTCTCTCATCTCCCACCCTCCCCATCTCACTCCATCTCCTCTACCCCCTCCCCTCTTCCCCAAATCTTCCACCACGTCTCTCTAAATCTCCCTCCCCCATTCCCCCTTCCCAGTGTCCCTCCCATCTCCCACCTTGGCCGCCTGGCTCCATCTCCTCTCTCGCGCTCTCTTTGCCTTCATCTCGCATCTTGCTCGTCTCCCTCCCACCGCCATCAAACGCACGCACGCACGCGCGCATTAGGAGGTTAACGCCATTAACGCCGGGCCCGCTAATTAGGACCCAACACCGCGTGACCTCATCCCTTTTAAGTATCGGAGGAACTCACGCCTCATCTAATCGACTTAAACAAAGCCATTACCAGCCTCCTTTCACCCCTCCAAGCCACCCCCCCCCCTCCCACCAGCCCCCCACCAGAAGACCATCACCCCCGCACCTCCCAGACCACACTCCTCCCCTCCCACCCTCCTCCTCCTCCTCCAACCCGAACCGGTTTCCGCCTCGTGTACTCACGGGCACCTTCTCGCCGACAGCGCCTCCAACTTACGCGCCTCCCCACGCCACACTCCTTGACACGCACGGCGTGTTTCACCACGAGCCAATCGGCGTCCGGCCTCGTTCCGGCCACGTGGTGATGCCTTTCGTTCCAGAAACAAGGTCGTCCCTCCTTGCTCCCGTGTGTCACCGTTCCATTCCGTTCCAAAACGTGTTTTACCAGCAGCCAATCGGTGCTCACAAGTCCAACATTACGTTCCGCTCTGTCCCAATATGTGGTCCCCTTACTATGTAACGTCCTGCTGCGTTCCAATGTGTCCAGTTCCGAACGACTCATATTCGTACTCTCCCTCTTCATCCAACACGCGTCCTTTTCCAGCCCGTGATCCTTTCTCCAGCGCGTGTTCCATTCTGTTTCAACATGTGTTCAGTTCCACCAACACACAGTTCTCGCTCTCCAACTCGCGTGCTCTGTTCCAACAAGTGATCATCATTTCCAACGTGTGCGTTGTTCCATTACGGTCCGTGTAATCTGTTCAATGACACTTGGTCGCCTCTCTATGCCCGAGGTATGTTCTGTTCCAAAACGTAATAATTTCTCCATGTATGGAATTCAGTTCCAACAACGCACACTCCTCGCTGTCCAATACATGTGCTTTGTTCCATCACCGAACACTTTCAATTCCGCGTCCCGTTCCGTTCCAACAAGTTGATCCTCTTTCAAACGCGCGTGCTCCCTTCTGTCGCATCGCCATACGATCCGTTCTCCTCCATTCCGTGCTTTATTCTATTCCGACCCAACGTGGTCTCCTTCTGAGCCATCACGTTCTCGATACACAACCTGGAATCGACCTCCCCCCACCCCTCCCTCCCCCCCCCCCCCCTATATGGAATGTGGAAGATCGCTGTTCTGTTTGGGTCCCTCCCTCACCCACACGCAGGGTTTCTCAGAAGCAAGTCCTCGCGACAGCCACCACGGCCACCAATTTACCTCCGGCGAGATGCAACTTAAACCGTTAGCGCTTCGAGCCCCACGGACACACAAAGACAAAGATCCCCCGTATAGCCTCAACACACTGTTGGGGGCAAGTGCTGTTAGCGAGCACCTATGAAGGCCGACACGGCACACATGGGGGCAGGTGGCCAGCACCACGCCCGACCGCCTTTGTCTCCCCAGGGACGATGTTTACACACCGCACCAGGTACTCTTTCGAGGCTGAGTCGACCTAGAGGAGGCCCAGGACCGGTTCAGATAATCGTCACAGGTGTTGGCCGTGAGCGCGAACCGAACCCGGGTCGCCGGGTTCGTAGCGCAGCGTAGCGCTAAGAGCGCTACGCAACTGTTCCTCGCACATACACACACGATACACACACGCACGCACGATACGCACACGCACGATACACACACGCGCACGTGCGCGCGTGTGTGTATCGTGTGGCAACTCGAAGCGTGTAACTTGAAACGGAGGTAAATGGGTCGACTCCTGGAAAGGAACTGCTTGCTTTTCGTCACAAGGACGGGAGTTGAGCTCCGTGAACCCTGCCTCGACGTGGTTTTGATGCAGCCGGACATCTGTTGCAGAAGAAAAGAGCTTCAGAGCTCATCGGATTTCGTCCACTCTAAATGAAAGATCATGATAAAAGCTCGAACCTCGGAGGGACTTGAGAAAGCGGAGACGCTAACCGGGCGGTTGGACTGGCGGTGAGCAGGGAGACCTGTAGAAGCAGTCGTGGCTGGCGGACTGTGGGAAGACGTGAGAGTGAGACGAAGATAAACTAAACTAAAGCTGAACTATGGTTTTTATTTTACCAGCTAAAGGCCCACTGAGCTATGTAGCTCTTTTTCAGACGTGACCTGGCCACAAATGACAGCTCAACAAAGCGGCTTATCACGTGGAAATGTACAGCAGCCAAATACTGTAAACGCACGTTGTTTATAAACGTGGAGAGGAAAAAAAACCGGAGGACTCGGAGAAAAATCCAGACGACCACGGGGAGAGAAACATGCAAACTCCAAATATACCGCAGGCGTCATCAGGGTCGGGATCGAACCCACGACCTCCTGTATACCAGGCGAGGTAGTTAGCATCTCCTAGCCACCGTGTCGCCCAGGGATGACCTGAAAGCAAGGAACGTGGAAGTCAGGGAAGGTCAATGAGTTCCTGCGAACCTGCAGATTACAACGGGACGGAGTCTCTAGAAGCGACGACTTGGAGAGGGAAACATTGGAGACAAATCATTGGTGGCCTGTGAGACTGGAGAACCATAGGACCTCGGATATGGACGACCTTAGAACCAGGAAGACCAGGATGATGAAGCAGAGGACTCGGTTGACCTGGTGACCTTGGAGACAAACCAAAGGGTTTATGATTGGTGTAACCGTGGAACCAAGGGGGCTGCTATAAAGGGCAGCGGGTTGGATTACCAGAGAATACTAGAAGCTGGGAGGAGGATTTGAGGGCAGTCGCGTGGATGATCATGCATGGTGGGGGGGGGGGGGGGGGGGGGTGTGGTGGGAGGGGGGCCCGGGTGGGAGTGTGGTGAGGCTATAGTTGGAGAGGCGAGGACCCGGTGAGCTGCATCTCGTTGGCCAGGCTTCGTGGCACGAGGCTCTTGGTGCTGTAGTACTCCACCACCTGCTTGGGCACCTCGGCCAGCACGCACTTGGCCAGCGCCTCCGGGGACGCCTGCCGGGGGTCACGGGGGGTGGGGTGGGGGAAGGGTCAGGAGAAGAGCAAGAAGGGGTCAGGGAGGGGTTTAGAGGTGGTCGTTGGTGGCAGGGGTCGGAGTAATAATGATGATCATGATGGGCGGCGGAGGGGAGGCCGGAAGGTTTGTGGGTGGTGGGGGTGGCAGTTAAAGGGAACGGGAGTTGGGGGGGGTGGCAGCCTCAGGGGTCAAGGGTTGAGGCGTTCAGAGCGATCGTGGGATTTGTTTCTGGAGTTCAAAGCGGGTTGACGGGCACGAGTTCGGGTCAGTACTTAGCAGCGGCGTGGTGGTAAGTGGTGATGATGTTAATGATGAAAGCACGCGTGATTTCCGCGTGTGTGTGTGTGTGTATTTCAGTGGCGTGACGCAATGCATCTAGGATGACTAAAATGTGGCCAAGGTCCCACCTCGCATCGGAGGTTGGGGTAATGCCGCCGATGTATGGAGCATTACTCATCCCGGTTCTGCTCCTGATTTCCGATTTATGAAGACAAACATCTCTCTCGATAGATCAATAGCGGAGAGATTGCGAGGGGTGTAACCACGCACGGCGCTACTCCCCCACACCCCCCTTGGACCCTGCCTCCCCCCCCCCCTCTCTCTCTCTCCCCACACAACTCTTCCACTCCCAGCTGCCGAACGGAGCGCACACGCCGAGTGAACGTCTCTGATGGCTTCCCACCAACGCCCTCTCGCGCCACCACCACCCCTCTCCCCCCACACCCCTCCCCCACCTCCACCCCGCCACGCGCTCCTCGACCATCTCCACATCCCTCCCCCGTGCCCCCCCCCCTCCGTGACCCCTTCCCCCGTGCCCCCTTCCGTGCCACCCCCCTCCCCCACCCCGGAAGTCCCCACGCCCCCACGCCCCCCCAGACTCACGCTCTTGAAGTCACGGAAGGGCACGAACTGTACGATGTCTCTCGCCGTGGGCTCTCCGCGGGGCGAGCGCAGCACGCCGTCGTCGCCGTCCAGCATGTGCATGTCGGTGAAGTCGGCGTTGCCCACGCCCACGATAATGATGGACATGGGCAGCCGCGAGGCGCGCACGATGGCCTCGCGCGTGTCGCCCATGTCCGTCACCACGCCGTCCGTCAGGATGAGCAGGATGAAGAATTGCTGCGCCGCAGCCGGGGGGAGGAGAGGGGGGAGCAGGGGAGCGGAGGATGGGGGATATACACCCAGGGAGAGTTGGTGGTGATGGTGGTGATCGTGGTGATGGTGGTGATGGTGGTGATGGTGGTGATGGTGGTGATCATGGTGATGATGTCGGTGGTGATGAAGGTGGTGATCATTATAGTCGTTGTGGAGGTGATGATGCCTCTGAGGCATGATTAGTTTATGTTGGGTCATATTGTGTAGAGATCACGTTAAGTACATATAACCCTCCACACTGTGCGATTGAGCTAATAATATCAAGTTGTGACGTCAAGGAGGAATATATGCAAATTGATTTGGGATTCTCAGCCAAGGAGGAATAGGAGGAGAAGGAGGAGGAGCGGCAGGAGGAGGATGAGGAGGAGCAGGAGGAGCGGGAGCAGGAGGAGGAGGAGGAATGTTGCAAACCCAATGCAGCATTTTGCTCTGTCGGGTGGTGGAGGGTTCTTGTTTATAGTTGACACTGTACTTACCCTACCCAACCCATCAAAAAACGAATTACGAATCGTAATATTAATCGTGAAACCCTACGGATGAAATTCACATTGCTGATGATTATGATGCTGCTGCTGCTGCTGGTGATGGTCGTGACGATGATGAAGATGCAGAGCGGTGGCGCAGCAGTTAGCACACCGCGCTACGAACCCAGCGGCCCGGGCTTCGATTCCACGGCTCACGACCAACGAACATCGCGCGGCGTCACGCAGCCGACCCTCTTTGACACCGCGAGCAACATTGTCTTGATTTTTTTTTTCAGCAGCAGAGCGCAACCAAGGAAACCAAACGATGAATTGTTTGACAACCGCGGCCTCAAAACGGTCTGTCGTCGTCGTCATCCCGCCCGTGAGCTATCATCGCGAGTCAGACGCTCGCTCCCGCGAGGCCTTGACGCCGTGAATAATTCAATGTCGGGTGGACGGCGACTGCTTAATGAGAGGAGCGGGGGGCGGGGGCTGCATAACGTCCGCGGGATGTGCGATGCTCATCTGCAAGCGGCAGATTCAGTTGTTGTCGTTGCACACTCAGAGCCGCCCCGTGCCATCCTAACCCACCCCCCCCCCTCGCTTCCCACCCATCAGAGATGGGGGTGGGAGGGGAACTCGACACAAGCGGGCGGCGAGAGATGTAAGGATCGAGATGGCACCGTGCGTGGGTAAAGCCGCTGATCCCACCACGACGACCGCGACCTTCCTCGCTTGCCAACGCGTGCCACCCGCCACCAGAGCCTACAGCTGCCGCACGGCAGAGACGCGCGGTGGCCTCCAACAATTGCCCCGACAGCCTCCCCCTACCTCCTGTTCTTGTATAGACTCACGCAGAGCAATCCACGGACTCACACAGAGAGTCATAGACTCACACAGAGCGATCCACAGACTCACACAGAGAGTCATAGACTCACACAGAGTGATCCACAGAGTCACACAGATAGTCATAAACTCACACAGAGAGTCATAGACTCACGCAGAGCGATCCATAGACTCACACAGAGAGTCATAGACTCACACAGAGCGATCCACAGAGTCACACAGATAGTCATAGACTCACACAGAGAGTCATAGACTCACACAGAGCGATCCACAGAGTCACACAGATAGTCATAGACTCACACAGAGAGTCATAGACTCACGCAAAGCGATCCATAGACTCACACAGAGAGTCATAGACTCACACAGAGAGTCATAGACTCACACAGAGTGATCCACAGACTCACACAGATAGTCATAGACTCACAGAGAGGCATATACTCACACAGAGTGATCCACAGACTCACACAGATAGTCATAGCCTCACACAGAGGGTCATAGACTCACACAGAGTGATTCATAGACTCACACAGAGAGTCAGATTCACACAGAGTGATCCATAGACTCACACAGAGAGTCAGATTCACACAGAGTGATCCATAGACTCACATAGAGAGTCATAGACTCACGCAGAGTGATCCACAGACTCACACAGAGAGTCAGAGACTCACACAGAGAGTCAGATTCACACAGAGTGATCCATAGACTCACACAGAGAGTCATAGACTCACGCAGAGTGATCCACCGACTCACACAGAGCGCCATAGACTGAGCGAGTGACCGTGCGAGTGAGTGACTGTGCCAGGGAGCGAGTGAGCGAGCGGCTGCCGACTGAATCGCGTTGGCCGTACCGACGCCTGCCCTGTGATTTCCTCTTCAGCCGCCACCTTGGCCACCTTGGCGATGATGGGCGCGATGTTGGTTGGGCCGTACAGCTGCAGCTTGGGCAAGCAGTTCTGGTAGGCCTCCACCACACCCTGGATGCCTGGTGGGCCCAAAGGTGCACACTCCTCACCTGCACACTCACCTGCACAGCCCCCCCACACTCACCTGCACACCCCCACACTCACCTGCACACTTGCACACTCACCTGCACACTCCCACACTCACCTGCACACCCCACACTCACCTGCACTCTCACCTGCACGCTCCCACACTCACCTGCACCCTCACCTGCACACTCCCACACTCACCTGCACACTCTCACACTCACCTGCACATTCACCACACTCACCTGCACACTCATCACACTCACCTGCACACTCACCTGCACACTCACCTGCACATCCCCACACTGACCTGCACACCCCCACACTCACCTGCACACTCATCACACTCACCTGCACACTCACCTGCACACCCCCACACTCACCTGCACACGCACCTGCACACTCCCACACTCACCTGCACACTCACCACACTCACCTGCACACTCTCACACTCACCTGCACACTCACCACACTCACCTGCACACTCGCACACTCACCTGCACACTCACCTGCACACTCACCTGCACACTCACCTGCACACTCACCTGCACTTCCCCACATTCACCTGCACACTCACCACACTCACCTGCACACTCATCACACTCACCTGCACACTCACCTGCACACTCCCACACTCACCTGCACACTCACCTGCACACTCACCTGCACACTCCGGGTTGTCTGGGTCCATGTTGAGTGGGAAGTCATGTGAAACCTGCTCCACACACAGACCATATGATACATTACCTTCACACAGACAAGTGCTGTTAGCGAGCGCCAGGTACTCATTTAAGGCTGAGTCGACCTAGGGGGCAGGCGCAGGACCGGTTCAGATATTCGTCACCAATGTCGGCTGTCAGCACGAATCGAACTCGAATTGTCGGGTTCGTGGCGCAGTGCACTAACCACTGCGCCACCGCTCTCCATACATAGACAAAGATCCCCCCATGTAGCCTTCAGCGCGAAGACACACAATAACAGCAACAGCCGTTCACCACTAAGTGCTTGAGCCATGCTAGGTGCACTTTGAGGTTTAAACGCGAAGGCCCGCTGGCAGGGGTCACAGGGCAGACGCAGATGGTGCCATGGGTTGTCTGACTGAGGTGGCTGCCAGATGCACACCAGCCGTGCTCCTAGACTGTGACAACTTTCTGTGTTTTATCCGCCCGGCGCTTTGCTCGTTGTTGTGAGCGTCGCTCCTCTGCCTATGATAGCTGCATGCAGGCTGCAGGAGGGGGGGGCACGGCAAGGTCACGGAAACATGGGGGGGGGGGGGGGGGTGGGGGCAGTGAGGTCTTGGTCTGGGCTGGGAGGGGGTAGGGATATTAGGGGTGGGGTGGCGTTGCTCACGGTGAAGTCTGGGGGGATCCTTGCACCAAAACCAAACGCCGGGAACATCTTGTCACTGTGGGGGGAGTGGGGGGGGGGCGGGACGGGAGGAAGGGGGGGGGACACACGCGTGTGAGTTTGGGGGGGGGGTACAGCGAAGCCGTTGGGGGGGAGGGGGAGGGTGCGTTACAAGGCATCGCTGGGGTCCGGCCGCTCGTCGGCTGCCCCCCGAGTGGCCACTCAGATTCACAGCCGAGTACTGAGCTCCGTTCGCATCGGGTCAGCCTGACGAGAGATGCGGTGACCGCCCCCCCCCCCACCTCCATGCCCCCCCCCCCCCGCTCTCCGCCACCCCCCCCTCCCCACCGGTTTCGGACAGAGCCAACGCATCAACGCGTTGGAGCCCAGGCGGACAGCGTTGGACCCTGGTGTGACGTTGACCACACGAACGAGATTCGGCCAGAACATTCCATACGCTACCGTTCACCGTCTAGGGAGATGATTGCTGGCGGTCGACCGCTTGCGTTGCGATCGAAACGTCGTCGTTTTTTGTTATTTTCTTTGAACCTATCTACGTGACTGCACCTAAAGACCCAAAGAATATGAATTCCTGCAGTCACGAAAGCTTTAAGTCATGATGCATATTGTGGTGGTGACGATGATGATTATATTTCGATTTAAAGCTTTCGTGACTGCAATGATTCATCTTCTTTGGTTCTTTTGGTAAAGTCCCTTCACCTGATGAGGGCCGCTTGTGTTGTGGCCGAAACGTCGTGAGAATATTATTGTGTTATTTTATTTTATCAATTTATTATTTTATTCTCATTCTACGTGACTTTACCGAAAGAACCAAAGAAGATGATGATTATGATCATGGTGATGAAGGATTAAAGTAATCCAGGTTTGTCCAGATGCAGACACTCGCAAAATATTTGCAAGCACCTGGCACACCACATCCATCCATCGCACCGCTCGCAATGGCTGTGGCTGCTTCTGGTCACACCGAAGAAGATTTCAGTGGGAAGTTCATCCCGAGCCGCACGATGATAACCGATCGTCCCCGGGTTCATCCCGATCGTTGAAGTGCATCGGCAGAGCAGTGCGTCCTCTTCCACGTGTTAGAGAACTGCCCACGGAAGCGGAATTCACAGAGCTACTTCTGAGATCGAGAAGGGACTCTGATCTACACAGAATGGCCCACGGAAGCAGATAGCACAGAGCTACCTCTGATATCTTTTCTTCTGCAAATGACACTGATCTACACAGAATGACCCACGGAAGCAGATAGCACAGAGCTACCTCTGATATCTTTTCTTCTGCAAATGACACTGATCTACACAGAATGACCCACGGAAGCAGATAGCACAGAGCTACCTCTAATATCTTTTCTTCTGCAAATGACACTGATCCACACAGAATGACCCACGGAAGCAGATAGCACAGAGCTACCTCTGAGATATTTTCTTCTGCAAATGACTCTGATCTACACAGAATGACCCACGGAAGCAGATAGCACAGAGCTACCTCTAATATCTTTTCTTCTGCAAATGACACTGATCTACACAGAATGACCCACGGAAGCAGATAGCACAGAGCTACCTCTAATATCTTTTCTTCTGCAAATGACACTGATCTACACAGAATGACCCACGGAAGCAGATAGCACAGAGCTACCTCTGAGACCTTTTCTTCTGCAAATGACACTGATCTACACAGAATGACCCACGGAAGCAGATAGCACAGAGCTACTTCTGAGATCTTTACTTCTTCAGCGGGAGGGGAAAGGGGGCAGCAATTCCCAACCCGCACTGCCCTGCGAGGGTAACGCTCGTCGCGCGACACCTCGAACCTCGAACCTCATTCTCAGCGCTTCAATTCTCAGAGCAGCTCGAGTGCAGGAACGCAGCGTCCCGTGAAGCGTTCTGATTGCCAGCGCGGCTCGATCACAGAGGCGGAACCCCGGCGGTGCCGTCTCCGCACTCGGTGACCCCAGCGCCACGCGACCACCTCCCGGGTGGGATGATCGTAACCCCCACCCCCTCCCCCCACTATCGTCCCCACCCCCCCCCCCCCCCCCCCCCACACTTTGCTCCATCACGCAGGTGCGCTCACCTATCGTAATCCTGGCAAATCTCTCCCACGGCCACCAGAGCCTTGAGGTACTCGTTGGGCTGGTAGGGGTGGATGTAGTGCAGCGAACAGCTGTTCTGCGGGTCCCCGTTCGAGGCCGTGAAGTCGATCGCCACCTGAGGTGCACACAGATTGGTTTGCCTTTAGGTTTGGGGGGAGTGGTGGTCGGGGGCAAGTGGGGGGGGGGGGGAGGGGGCGAGTGGGTCAGGGGAGTTCCGGACTCACACAGAGTGATCCATAGACTCACACGAAGAGTCATGGACTCACACAGAGCGATCCATAAACTCGCACAGAGACCCGTAGACTCACACAGAGAGTCATAGACTCACACAGAGTGATCCATAGACTCACACAGAGTGATCCATAGACTCACACATAGAGTCATAGACTCACACAGAGCGATCCATAAACTCGCACAGAGACCCGTAAACTCACACAGAGAGTCATAGACTCACACAGAGCGATCCTTAGACTCGCACAGAGACCCGTAGATTCACACGTAGAGTCATAGACTCACACAGAGCGATCCATAGACTCGCACAGAGACCCATAGATTCACACGTAGAGTCATAGACTCACACAGAGCGATCCTTAGACTCGCACAGAGACCCGTAGATTCACACGTAGAGTCATAGACTCACACAGAGCGATCCATAGACTCGCACAGAGACCCGTAGATTCACACGTAGAGTCATAGACTCACACAGAGCGATCCATAGACTCGCACAGAGACCCGTAGATTCACACGTAGAGTCATAGACTCACACAGAGCGATCCATAGACTCGCACAGAGCACAGAAGACTCACACAGAGAGTCATAGACTCACACAGAACGATCCATAGACTCGCACAGAGACCCGTAAACTCACACAGAGAGTCATAGACTCACACAGAGCGATCCTTAGACTCGCACAGAGACCCGTAGATTCACACGTAGAGTCATAGACTCACACAGAGCGATCCATAGACTCGCACAGAGACCCGTAGATTCACACGTAGAGTCATAGACTCACACAGAGCGATCCTTAGACTCGCACAGAGACCCGTAGATTCACACGTAGAGTCATAGACTCACACAGAGCGATCCATAGACTCGCACAGAGACCCGTAGATTCACACGTAGAGTCATAGACTCACACAGAGCGATCCATAGATTCGCACAGAGACCCGTAGATTCACACGTAGAGTCATAGACTCACACAGAGCGATCCATAGACTCGCACAGAGCACAGAAGACTCACACAGAGAGTCATAGACTCACACAGAACGATCCATAGACTCGCACAGAGACCCGTAGACTCACACAGAGAGTCATAGACTCACACAGAGAGTCATAGACTTACACAGAGAGTCATAGACTCACACAAAGTGATCCATAGATTCGCACAGAGACCCGTAGACTCACACAGAGCTATAGACTCACACAGAGAGCGACAGACTTACACAGAGACCCATAAACTCACAGAGAGTCATAGACGCACACAGAGAGCCATGGGATAACTCCAGAGCGATCCATAAAATCACACAGAGAGTCATAGACTCACACAGGGACCCATAGACTCACACAGAGACCCGTAGACTCACACAGAGAGCCATAGACTCACACATAGAGCAATAGACTTGCGTAGAGAGCCATAGACTCACACAGAGTACAATAGACTTCCACAGAAACCCGTAGACTCACAGAGAGTCAAAGACTCACACAGAAACCCATAGACTCACACAGAGAGCCATAGACTCACTCACAAAGAGAGCAATAGACTTACACAGAGAGTCATAGACTGACACGGAGACCCACAGACTCACACAGAGTGTATGGGTCTCTGGGGAGGGCGGGGGTGAGTCTAGAACTCACTATGCAAGACAAGTATTGTTCTTGTGTACTAAGTGTTATTTTTTTAATGGCTTATGCCTAAAAAGTATAGAAAATGGCTATTATTATTATTATTCCCCACACACTTTGCTTTTGTGACCAGGACTTTATGTGAACGAAAGACACAAATGCACACCACGTGTTCTCATTGACAATAGGTAAATTTCAAAATATCACTGTCCTGGTCACAAAAGCAAACTTTGTGGGGAACAATAGCCATTTTATATACCTTTGAGGCATAAGCAATTAGTAAACAACACTTACTACTTACTACACAGACACAACATTTTGTTACACACTGTAATCAATCGGGACATATATATAAGACAAAGATCCCCCGTACAGCCTTAACAGACTGTAGGGGCATGTGCTGCTAGCGAGCACCTATAAAGGCTGGCACAGCACACGAGGGGGTGGGTGGCCAACACCACGCCCGGCCGCCTTTGTCTCCCTAGTGGCGATGTTTACACACCGCACCAGGTACTCATTTGAGGCTGAGTCGACCTAGGAGAGGACCAGAACCGGTTCAGATAATCGTCACTGGTGTTGGCCGTGAGCGGGAATCGAACCCGGGTCGCCAGGTTTGTAGCGCAGCGCGCTAACCGCTACACTACCGCTCCCCACTCACACTGTTATTATAATGAGACAAGAATGCGCGTGACGTCACTCCACATGCCCCCCCCCCGCTCATTAATATTCATGAGCGGGTGGATTTTTACACCCACGCAGAAGAAGGTCGAGCGGAAATAAATAAATAAAAAAAACGCGAATTCGCTTTAAGTTTGACGTTTCTTTATTGAAAGTGAATCTAATAAATAAGTCTACGCAGCAACAAAGTGGATTTGGTGTCTTTATTTATTCAGCGCTTGAGACAAAAGGCAAGCGCCCAAGCACTGTGAACGCGTGACGTTCATTCTAAATGTGGAGGGGGAAACCGGAGGACCGGGAGACAAATCCACGCGACCACGGTGAGAGAGAGAGAGAGTGAGACACCGCAAACTCCACATATACAGCAGCAGCGGCAGCAGGCGTCAGGGTCGGGATCGAACCCACGACCTCCTGTATGCCAGGCGAGCGAGTTAACATCTCCTAGCCACCGTGGTGTTTATACCTCGCCCACGGCAGCCCTGCCACCGCCTTACCGTGAACTGAATCTGGCAGCCCCCCATGATGTACTCCAGGAAGGAGTAGATCTTAATGATCTGTGGGGGGGAGGGGGGGAGGAGGAGGAGCTAAATAATCATAACCATGACGCTGGTCGTGATGATTATGATGATGATGATATTCATGATGATGTAGATGATAATGTTATGATGATGTCGATTATGTTCATGTTGACGATGTTGATGGTGTTAATGATGACGTTCTTGATGATGCTAATGATGATTATGCTGATGGTGATTTTTATGATGATGATGATTGTGATAATCATCTTTATGAGGATAATGTTGATGATGGTGATGTTGATGTCGATGATAATATTGATGATGATCTTGATTGTGTTGGTAATGATCTTGATGAGGATAATGTTGATGATGTTGATGATCATGACGGTGATGTTGATGATGTCGATGATGTTGGTGATGTTGGCGACGTCTCACCTTGCAGTGCGACAGGATGAGCACGCCAGAGTTCTTGTAGCGTCGCTTCTTCGCTTTGTACTTGGGGTTGATGCAGTCCCACTGCACCTGGGGTGAGGAGGTGAGGCTCGGAGTGAGGAGGTGAGGCTCGGCGTGAGGAGGTGAGGCTCTGGGTGAGGAGGTGAGGCTCGGGGTGAGGAGGTGAGGCTCGGGGTGAGGTGGTGAGGCACGGGGTGAGGAGGTGAGGCACGGGGTGAGGAGGTGAGGCTCTGGGTGAGGAGGTGAGGATCGGGGTGAGGAGGTGAGGCTCGGGGTGAGGAGGTGAGGCTCGGGGTGAGGAGGTGAGGATCGGGGTGAGGAGGTGAGGCTCTGGGTGAGGAGGTGAGGCTCGGGGTGAGGAGGTGAGGATCGGGGTGAGGAGGTGAGGCTCGGGGTGAGGAGGTGAGGCTCGGGGTGAGGATCGGGGTGAGGAGGTGAGGCACGGGGTGAGGAGGTGAGGCACGGGGTGAGGAGGTGAGGATTGGGGTGAGGATCGGGGTGAGGAGGTGAGGCACGGGGTGAGGAGATGAGGCTCGGGGTGAGGATCGGGGTGAGGAGGTGAGGCACGGGGTGAGGAGGTGAGGCACGGGGTGAGGAGGTGAGGCTCGGGGTGAGGAGGTGAGGATCGGGGTGAGGAGGTGAGGCACGGGGTGAGGAGGTGAGGCACGGGGTGAGGAGGTGAGGCTCGGGGTGAGGAGGTGAGGCTCGGGGTGAGGAGGTGAGGCTCGGGGTGAGGCGGTGAGGCTCGGGGTGAGGAGGTGAGGCTCGGGGTGAGGAGGTGGTGCTGGTGGTAAGGAGCGAGGTGAGGGTGAGGACGCGCTCACCTGCCGCCCGTCCTGCGCGCCCAGCATCTCGTGAAAGGTGGTGCACAGCTCACCGATGAAGTCGTGTTTCCCGTTCGAGTCCCAGTCCCACACCATGCACTGCAGCGACACGGGCAGCAGCGCTCACCAACGCTCACCAGCACTCACCAACACTTACCAACACTCACCAGCACTCACCAGCACTCACCAACACTCACCAGCACTCACTAGTACTCACCAACGCTCACCAACGCTCACCAGCGCTCACCAACACTCACCAACACTCACCAGCACTCACCAGCACTCACCAACACTCACCAGCACTCACCAACACTCACCAACACTCACCAACACTCACCAGCACTCACCAACACTCACCAGCACTCACCAGCACTCACCAACACTCACCAACACTCACCAGCACTCACCAGTACTCACCAACACTCACCAACACTCACCAGCACTCACCAACACTCACCAGCACTCACCACCACTCACCAACACTCACCAGCACTCACCAACACTCACCAGCACTCACCAACACTCACCAACACTCACCAGCACTCACCAACACTCACCAACACTCACCAGCACTCACCACCACTCACCAACACTCACCAACACTCACCACCACTCACAAACACTCACCAACACCCACCAACACTCACCAACACTCACCAACACTCACCAAAACTCACCAACACTCACCAACACTCACCAGTACTCACCAACACTCACCAACACTCACCAACACCCACCAACATTCACCAGCACTCACCAACACTCACCAGCACTCACCAGCACTCACCAACACTCACTAACACACTGGTGCGATGTTAATTGGTATGCAGGAGGTCGTGGGTTCGATCTCGACCCTGACGCCTGCTGCTGTATATTTGGAGGTTGTGTCTCTCTCTCTCTCCCCGTGGTCCTCCGGTTTTCCCCTCCACATTCAGAATCAACATCACCACGCGTTTGGAGTATTTGGCTGCTATACATGTCCACGTGATGATGATGATGATCATAAAGCCCACTT